CCCCCCGCACCCGCTCACAGCCCGCATGGGGCTGCCTGTGCCTGCTCAGGACAGTCCCGTGTGAGCTGCGAGTGGCTGCAGCAGGAAGCATGGGCCACAGGGCGGGCGAGGGGCCACACTTAGCACCAGCTCGTTACCTGCCAGTGAGCATGGGGTTGGGGCTGCACGCTGCCCCCCACCTGTACCACGGGGCTGGGGGGCACTGTGAGTGAGCAGGTGCACAGGGCCCACACTGGTATCCCAGGGCCAGGCACCAGCAGGGCCCAGAGCAGGGTGGCAGGAGTACAGGGTCCCGTCTGGCAGGGGCTCTATGAAGCCAGGCCAGCTCCCCACTCTACCTGCTGGGGCCGCCCCGGCTCCACAGAGCCCTGCCAGCCTGCACCCCGCTCTGGGTCCCACCAGTGCTGGCCCTGAGACATTGGTCCCAAGATGGTAACCAGGGGCAAGGCACCTGTCAAGGGGAGGGGCACCTGTCAAGGGGCGGGGCTACTCATACAGTCCTCGACAGCTTGTCAAAACTGGTTAAGCAGCCCTCCGCCCAAAATAATTGCCCACCCCTGGTCTAAGTGGACACTGTTCTGTCTGCCTGACCCAGTGAAATTAACCTCTCGGCATTAGCTAGCATACCACATGCCTAGGGTCCCTGGGGCTGGGGTCTGTGCTGTGGGAGATGGGAGGGAGGGGGAATACCTGCTTGAGCAGCCAGCAGCAAGGGAAGCTAGGTAGACCCTGCTGTGCCTTCAGTTTCCCCCCGGAGCCCTGGCTAGGGAGGAGAGGAGCGGGGCCAGCCTGTTCTTTGGGGAGAGCACAGCTTAGCCCAGTCCAGCTGCAAAGCATCTGGAATGCTGGGGGAGTCTGGTTTAACTTAAACCGGGAAGGGGTCTGGAACAGACATTGCAGAAACCGGTCTGACACAAATCAGTTAAGTCTGATACTACATTCAGCCAGGTTTATCTTAAACCAGTTTCAGCCATTTTGAAACTGGTTTATGTGCACTGATTATTGTTTCTTTGTTGATTTAATGAATGTATAGAACCCAGTGTGCAATAGGAACAAAAGTTTTTAAAAAATCTGTTTTCACGTTGATTTTGCAGCTGCCTCCCAGAAACTTCTGTTCAGTAGGTGGTTTGCTACACATTTAAGCAAGTTACCACAGGTCAAAAAAGTGCAAAACCAGGTTTAAATGATCATTGTATCATGTCCAGTTAAATTAAATTTATGACAGTGTGCTAAGAAAGTAGAAATAGAGGTACAATTGTGCTAAGGTTCATCACTAGCAAGAAAAATGGTGCAAGACAAATTAAACTTGTTAGACTTCATTACTGGAACTTTCAAAGCAGGGAATAATTTACATTTAGGAGTCTAGCATATTTTTAGCGCAGAAGTATAGGGCGGGGGAGGAGAGATCATTTGTTATATTTGATCCACTCCTGAGCATTGCTACATCTGTCTCAACATCATATATCATAACACAGAAAAGACTAATCAAATTGCACTAGTTTTTATTCCTTATCCTTTGCCTCGTCCCTTCCCCCTTCTATTTCACCTTTTTGGACAGTCTTCCTTCTCTCTAACATATCTGCCCAGGAAAAATTCCCCAAAAGTGCTAACTGGCTTTAAAAATTAACTCAAACCATATAGTAGAGAAGTTGTAGTGTTCCAAGGACACACACACACAATAAAATTAGAGAGAATATAGTTTATGCAAAGATTGCTATGTAACATCACCATTTTCATTGTTTTTACTGCTTTGCTTTTATATGTTCTTTTTGCAAAAAGCATTGCATTCCAGTACTGTGAAACAGACTCTGAACACCTTGGCACATGCAAGAAGGATCACTTTCAGAGGAGCTCTGTAATGGTTCATTCACTGCTTGTATGGCTAGCAGGGGTCAATGTAAGATCTTAAGATCTTCTCTGAGTAAACTGCCCCTAAAATTCTAACCGGTTGGAGTTGTAGCACAGAACAGGTGGAGACCACCTGCCTTTGCAGGGTTTGGGTTTGTTTGTTTGCTTATTTAATTGAACATTCACTTGATGTAGACAGATCTGTACTAAGTAGTACCCTGCCTCAAATCTGCTTTCTTTGATGATTACTGGAAAGTGAGTTTTTACTCTACAATAAGGTATTATAGCTTGTGACCAGCCCTCCACAGCTTGCTGCCTGCAGTAGGCACTGGATTGGCCACTGGGTACTGAAGAGCTAGTTTTCATAGAGCCAAATGGCTATCACAGAAGGAAATTGGCTAAGGGAATAGACAGGACACATTCCACACAGTCACTTTTCCTTTCAGTAAAGTTACTGCTTTACCTTGGATTAGAATGATTCTTCTATAATAAAGAGCTTAGTCCATCGGTTTGTCTGTCTGTAATGCTCTCGGAGCACTCTGATTGGTTAGTGAAACAACCAATTAGAGTGCAGAGCACCGCAATGATGGCAGGGATGCAGGGGATGGGTGTGGGGGGCAAAGCCAACAGCGCTGGCCTCACCCCCCTGCTCC